TTTTTTTTTTGACTTGAGGGGAGGGAGAATCCCAAACCCAGAGCTTTTTCGAAGTTTTTGCCTCTCAGCTTCTCGCTGCAGCTGTCCTTTTTGTCAGACTCTTCCTCTCTTGAAAGAACCGGTTTGTTGCCGACATGAAGCACATGGCTGGGTCTGGTGGGGCTCAGCACAGCTTAACTCTGCTGGGCTCCAGTCTCCTCGCCTTGTCCAGCTGCTGTCCTGCCCTCCACCCTACAGAACAGGGCCTGGCTGAGGGACTTGGGTGCCGTAAGGAATGTTGACTGGTTTCCCTCAACTCTTTTCTGAAATGTGTGATCATCCGGGAGAGTTGCTGTTTAAACTTGCCCAATGGATAAACTTTCTGAAATCATTGACTCTCCTTCTCTGATTAATTTCTATGTTTGTTTCCTGCCTAACTTTAGAAGGGTTCTTTGTACAGGACTGAGTCACCTTTATTATGGCCCAAGGTCGAGGACTGCACTGTAATAGCTGACCCCATCAACAGCAGTTTCATTGCGCGCCGGGATGTGAACTCTGGAAGCAAACCTAGAGGCTTAGATATGCTGATGTGCCCTGGGGACTTGCTTAGAAAATTTTTGTTTTAGCGCAGTTTACATTAACATGATTAATGACCTTGCCACTGAAAAGTCTATATTCAAAAGCTATTTACCATTCCCGAGGGTTCTTCTTATGGTGAAGTAATTTTCTTTGCCAAACAACTTTGTTTTAAGGTAACTTCTTTGATGTTTAATCCAAACCTCCTGTGCACACAGTTTTGGATCAAGGTTTGGGCTTCGAAAATTGCGGGTTGTGGTTTTGGTGGTGCCGGTCTTAACCCTCCCGAACTCTGGTCAGGGGGCATCTGGATTCTTGTCTTAAGAAAGTTCTCTGAGCTCCTGAGAAGCAGCAGTTAGTGCTGTGCTGGTTAGGATGGGAGGAAATCTTCCAGAGGAAACTTGGCTTCAGGGTGTCTTGGAGGAGGGATACAGGGAGGCTGGAGCAGAGGACGAGTTTTTTTTCCCCCCTTGCAGTGACTGGAGATACTTGAGCGTTTTCAGAAAACAGAGACGTCTTTGCTGCAGCTGCCTTGTCCTCCTCTGGCTTTTTCCTCGTCTTCCTCTTGTTCCTTTTTTTGTTAAGTGTGGGCTGATTGAGAGGGGGAAATGCTGATGGGTGGGTCTGAAAGCAGCCTTCAGGAACCCAAGAAAATAAAAACACGTTTGAAGGACTCGGGAAGATTTTGCATTTCAAAGGGTCTACCTTGTAGAATTTCACATCACGTCAGGGGTTACGGAGAAGTGTGACAGGCACCCTGCTTCTTCACGGTTCTCATCTCCTGCTGCGGGGGCTGCATGGGAAGCTGCCTTTTGCAGGAGGGACGGGGGGCAGCCTGGCCAGACTGTGCAGGAATATCACGGAAACAACAGCTCCCCTTAGGTATCTGTAGTCCCTGGAGGGACTTTTTCCACTGGGCCCCTCTCAGGAGGTGAAAGCACATCATGTCGGTAAACAGCCCATTTGACCCCAGAATGCAGGAGCAGGCCAGCTCCTGGCTGTTCTCGCTCTCCCTCGAAACAAAGAAACGGATTCTCCTCCCGTAGTGATATAATGTGGTTCCCAAGATCCAGGCCTGTAAAAAGTTGGGTGCAGCGGGATTCAGCTGAAATGGGTGTGGATTATTCAAAGAATAATAGCAGTGCCCACTGGTTGTTGAAGGCTCGCCCTCGGCCAGGGGCTTTGTATACACTGTCTCTAATTCTCAAAGAAGTCCTGC